ATTAATTATTTAAATTTATTTTCATGAAATAGACGAATGCATGGATTGAAGAGTTTGGTGAAAAATAAAGCTCGTCCAAAAAGATCAATATGCGAGAATTATATAATGAGTGAGATCTAATACTTTATCTCACTTTATTTTCAAGGAGAAGTTGAGACAAGAGGTGATCGCATCCTCAGAAATCTTGTTAGCTTAGGCCCTTCTGTTAATATTGACCTTTCAATTTTCAATAATCTTGGAAAACCAATTGGTTCTTTACAACAATAACGAGTGTTGACAACAGAAGAGCATAATGCTGCAATGTATTACGTTCTAATGAATTGTGAAGAACTGAAGGGATAGATTAAGTAAACGCATTTCCCTAATCTTTATCCTTAACAACATTTGAGAAAGTAAATAATCTATTTTAATTTACACATAACTATAATGGATGCTTGATGCTTGATTAGGGTTTTCGAAAAGGAAGAATGTCAAAATATGACTCCCCAACAAATACAGATGAAACGTTTCAATTATCTTGTGTCATGATTTCAAAAATCGATAAGTTTATTCAATTATTTTAATTATTATTAATTAATTATTGTATACTTATAACTAATAAAATAACTCATGTGATATAGGTTTTACATGATGAGTTTGAGGGCATTGATGAGCATTTGATTTGTTTGCTCATGGCCCATCTTGGATGGTTTCATGCTATAAAGGCTTTTGGGTAATCAGTTTTTGACTTCACAAGGCCTCATATGGAAGAAATAAAAGAACAATGAATAGTGGTGTGTGTATCAGGATAACCACAAGAACAAAATCAGATTTGGATTTTTATGGGTTATTGAAAGAAGTGATTAAGCTTCAATATGTTGGCTCCAGACATTGACAGACGGTTGTTTTATTTAAATACGATTGGTATGAAATTCCTCATGCACAAGGAATTGTGGTTGATCGAAAACATCATCTTGTTGCTATTAATCCATCATCTTGTTGATATTAATCCAAATAAAAAACTAAGAACTTATGAGCCTTTCATCTTGGTGAGTCAAGCTAAACAGGTGTATTACACTCCATATCCATCACATAATTCTAATAAGAAGGGATGGCTTGCTGCATTGAAATGCAGGGCAGGAAGTATTATTGTGATGCCAAATGAGCAAGAAGACCAACACAATGAGCTATAATTTCAAGATGATGACCCTCTACCTCTCTAACTGACTGAAACCGATTTGATATTGTATCAACCAATTTAGCATACTGATGGGACTATATCTGCCATTAATGTCGAATTTGAGGATGTGAATGATGACAAAGAATTTGAGGAAGAGGATGAGAAGGAGGAAGAATTTGAAGATTACTCTACATCTGAGGAAGATAATATTGAATACATTTCTGAGAGTGATAGTAGTGATTAATTAATTAGTAACACATAGATACTTTTTAATTATTGAATAGTGTATGTATGTGGTCTTTTATAACACAGTAGGTGATATGTATTGTTGATTAATATAAAAGAGAAATTAATTTGATGATTGTTAATTTGTTTAGATATTGTCTTTAAATTTCATGTTTGATTTATTTTTGTTTAAAATTTAAATCTAATACATTTTTTTTCATTCATATACTAACGTAGTATTTTTTATTATTTTTTACACAGTGAATTGCATACCTGGATCATATAGGGGTGACAAGGCTGGTAACATTGCCACCCAAAGGCATCAATCACAAGCAACTAGATCTTCTAGTACTATTGTTTGAGAGACCCCAATGAAGACATGATAATGGCAGTGACACTGATTCAAGTGCACCCTCGCCTCCTCAACCCAAAAAGGGCTGAGGTATTTCCAAAATGCAAAAATTGCCAGAGGATCCATCCCATAAGCTGAGCATAGGGAATTGGGATGGGAAAATATTACCTAAACAAGTCCAAAAGGATATTTCAATCATTCTTAAGTTCAATATGCGAGATGCATATACAGGTTGGGGCTTAGTATCGCTTGAGCACAAGGAAGTGTATTGGCAAGATTTTCGGGTTTGTAGTTTTATTAAATAATTTTCAATATATTTTTAGTTATATATGTGCATTTTTTTCTTGAGTCAATTAATACATGAATATATGATACCAATATTTTTTTTTAAGAATAGATATGAGTGGGACCCTGCTCATGAGAATGTTGTGCATACAACATTTCTATGAGTTTGTGAAAAAAGATATAACCAGATGATGACTGATATCCAAGCTTCATGCAGAAAAAAGAATTTTACTGAAAAAAAACTATACATGTCTGATGAGGTTTGGGAGAAGCTAAAGTACAAATAGACGCAAGACCCTCAGTTCAATGTGCATAGAGAGCAAGCAAAGCTAAATCGAGCCAATGGCCCCAAGGTAACCCACACAGGTCGATCTATGGATTACGATGATTTTGTGAGAAAATTGGTAAAAATTTTACTTTTAAGTTTTAGATTTCATCTCATAAATAATTATAATAATCTTGTGGTTAATTATCATGTTTATGTGAATTAACACAATAATTAAATATGTGATATTGCATAAGGAAAAAGATCCAGAATATAAGGATACATAATTTGTTGATGTGATCCGTGCAAAAAAAATGTACCATCCAAAGGAAAAAGATAAAATGCCAACATATATTAATGAGTAGGCTCATGAGTATACTCTAAATATTCTTTCTAATGATTATTATTTCCTGAGAGAAATCGATTTAAGTTATATTTCTTTCATTTAACTTTATTCATATTGGAAAAATCAATTAAAATTAAGGATACCTTATTAATTCGTTAATTTGGACAACATGAATTCCCCTATATTTATTCAATTTAAGTGAAATCAAATTACATTTTAATTTTATTGAATATCATACAAGAAAATATATATTGTTTGTATTTTTATATTTTGTGTACAGGGGAAAAATACAATTTTTAGGGAAAACTCTGTCGAATTTTTTTATAAATTTACAATGAATTGGGAAAAATTAAAGTACTTATTATATGGTATTAATAATTATATTAAGTCTCTAATCATGATTAAGTAATTTATTTGACAATTTCGTATTTTGGTTAATCTTGTTTTGGTTGATTGTATTTTAATATTTTGTGTATAGGGGGAAAATATAATTTTTACGTGAAACTCTATCGAATTTTTTATAAATTTATAATGAATTGTGAAAATTTTAAGTACTTATAATATAGCATTGATAACTATATTAAGTCTCTAATCAAGATTTAGTAATTTGTTTGACAATTTCTTGTTTTGGTTAATCTTGTTTTGGTTAATCTTGTTTTGGTTGATTGTATTTTATATTTTGTGTACAAGGGAAAATACAAATTTTAGGGAAAATTCTGTCGAATTTTTTATAAATTTATAATGAATTGTGAAAATTTTAAGTACTTATAATATGATATTGATAATTATATTAAGTCTCTATTCAAAATTAAGTAATTTATTTGACAATTTCTTGTTTTGGTTAATCTTGTTTTGGTTGATTGTATATTTATATTTTGTGCACATAGAGAAAATACAATTTTTAGGGGGAAACTCTATTAAATTTTTTATAAATTTATAATGAATTATGAAAAATTTAAGTACTCGTAATATGATATTAATAATTATATTAAGTCTTTAATTAGGATTAAGTAATTTGTTTGACAATTTCTTATTTTGGTTAATAGTGTTTTGGTTGATTGTATTTTAATATTTTGTATACAGGGAAAAAACACAATTTTTAGGGGAAACTCTGTCAAATTTTTTATAAATTTATAATGAATTGTGATAAATTTAAGTGCTTATAATATGGTATTGATAATTATATGAAGTCTCTAGTCAACATTAAGTAA